ATTATTTCAGCCCTCAGGATGGCTGGCATCTTGTGACTTCTTGGAGAATTTACATTTGAGATTTGTGCTGGGGTTTTGTTTTATTTATTTTATTTATTTATTTAAAGGAAAGTTCTTGCTTCCTCCACATTCAGGAACTTCCTCAGAAGGTTCTAAACTGAGAGGAAGCAGTGACAGCTAGAATGGAGCATAGAAGAAGAGCTTTCATTCGGCTCTCAAGTGTTTCAGTGGGTCAAAAAACCTCAGAGTTTGGATAAGTCCTATCTGTCTTGTACAAGGAAGTTGAGGCCCAAGAGTTGGAATCCTGCAAGTATAGTAACTTTCCCTTATTCAGCAAAAAGTGTTGAACAAGTTAATACAGTCACAATACAACAAAGCTTTTCATCAATCATTTCACATACTACTGTTTTCAGAATTTTTACAGGGTTCAGAAGGTCAAGCTCATCACTGGTGCAATAACACTGATGGTCTCACCATGGATAAATGTGACCCACAATCTTCTGTATCTCACAAATGAAGGTGGGCACTTCACAAATCCAGTAATTAGTAGCAATATATTATAACATGAATTATTCCCCAAAGGCTTCCATCCTATGATTCTCTGACAACTTTAAACAAAAGTGGCTTTTGGCCATTGTAGTTACTGATTGCCAGTTATTTTTCCATTTAACAACTATTACCTCTTTGCTTTGCCTTCATAAAGTTTCTATTTTAACATACACATTAATAATAAAAAAAAGAACCAAGGTTTTATGTTTTACCTCTTTTATCACTAAAATGGAAAGAAAACACAGTATTTAATGGAAATTCTAGGTCATCAGTGAGCTATATGTGAACCTATCATTTTTGTAAATCTCTTTCATTGAAGTATACCTACTTGTAACTAAGCCCCGTTTCAAACTATCTTCCTTTATTGTCCTAATGATTTATTATTTTAATTCACTCTGATTGGCAAAAAGGAAATAACTGCTGTTCTACTCTACCATGTTTCATTCCAATTTTTGTTTTCAGTAAATGTGTTACAATTCTTCCATTGACAGTCAAAGACATTTCATACAAAAGCAGCATTTACTTTAACTTATATCTGAGCCAAAAAATAAATATTCAGTTTGACATTTTGAAGTATCTGTTTTCCAGCATCAATCTCAAGTTGTTATTAGAGCCATTAAAATTATTATTTTACACCATTTTAAAAGCATGGCCTATACTAATTTATCTTGATAAATGATACAACATGTTAACAGTAAAGAAAAACAAATGCATGGCATAAAAGCTACTGAAATTGCCAGATATTTACACCCTGCCCTGTTGATCTTTAAGAACTCCATTTTCTAAATCCATCACTGAAAATAACATCAGCAGAAATAAAGTTACAATTTCTGGTGACTTTTTGGGGGTGCCCTCCCAAGGCAATATCAGACTGTACAGCAAAGAGAGATTACCTTTGATTTTAAAGACAAATAATTCTGTTTATTTCAGAGGACTGATGATGCATTTTGCTGCATATGGCTTATCACCTGCCCCTTTAAAGAAGGAGCTAAGTACAAAAAATTCCCTTATGCCAAAGAGTTCTGACTTCCTGTGACAGGGTGCTGGGCTGGGACTCCTGAGCCAGCCCTCTGCCACGCCAGCTCCCATTAATGGAGTTAGACTGGAGCTGCTTAGAGAAACCTGTGCCCCATTGGCAAAGGGGAAACAGCCGCCAGCCTAATTAGCCTGGGGCTGCAGAAAAGCCTCAGGGTAGGGATGCCAGAGAGTGGTAGCCCTTCTTTCTTGGCCGCAGAGACTGAGCAGTCTCTAAGGCTGAAACCCCCACGCTGTATGTGGTGAGAAGGTGGTGGGAATTGTTCCCTGTAAATAAACTGCACCTGTGACTGCTGAGCCAGAAGGCCTCTGCATGATTTTTGGAGCAGAGCAGAGGCAGGACCAAGGGGGGCCCTGCAAGGCCCTGTTACACTCCCCAGTCTAAACCAGGGCTTACCTTCCAACCATAACCGTTTTGAGCCAAAAATATGTCAAAACCAAAACAAGACTAAAGCACTCTGTCAAACACAGCAGCAATCCAATCCTATATTTTTTATACTGAAATCCTGCCATTGAGCTCAAAAGGATTAGGCCCAAAAGTTTTACTGTTCCTATGATGGGGTACACAAACTCCACACTGGACCTGAAGGATTAAAAGGCAATACTGGGCTCAGGCAGCCACCCCAACTCCAGGCTTGCAGAGCGTGCTCCAACTGGAGGAGTGGGTTAAAGGGGAGCTAAGAAGTCCAGGCACATGGTTGTGGACAGACTGCAAGTCAGAAGAATCCTTCTCCAGGAAGCCAGACAGAAGATTGAGCCTGTGAGGGGACCATGGAGCGGGTAAGACTAAATGCCTTCTTTAGCCACCTCCGCCTCCTCTGAGAACTTGTAGGTCCAGCAAGGCCCTGCTTCTTTGGATTCTTTCTTTGCTGAGCTACTGACTGGTTGGACTATAGGGGCCATGCCCCATACTGAAGGGACCTACTGGCAGGAAGTAGCCTAGCAAAGCAAACTTGGACTTGCTGCAGAGAGGACCATGCCAGTTCTGCTTTTCACCAGGGCTCTGGGCTGGGACCCAGTAGCAAGAAAGGGCCCAGGTCTGGGAGCTGAGGCCCAGAAGCAGGTGGAAAGTCAAAGATTCCCTGCTTAAGATCAGGAACATCTAAGATCTTCCACCCAGACATAGGAGCAAGAGGCTGAAAGTTACGCATGCTAACCACTAGGCTGCCCAGCCCTCCAAGCCCCTATCCTATGTGGCGGAGAATACGGGCAGCAGAGTCTGAAGTCCTGAAAGTAGGCCAGAGAGAGAGAGACACAGGGAGGAGTGGGGAGAGGCAAAAATGGATTTTGAGAAGTTGCTGACATGGGTCTTAGAAAACCAACAATAGCAGGCAGCCAAACAACAGCACCAGCAGAACCAACTGCTCCAGCAGCTCACCATCCAGCATCCAACAGCAGCAGCTGATTAAAGAAATGATGGTGCAGCAGCAGGAACTGCAGCAGTGGCTCATCCAGCAGATGACGGTGCTCCTACAGCCATCTAGGTCAGCAGCAAGTCTCACCAATAGAAAGGGAAGTCCCGTCCCAATGCCATTCAAGCCGGTTAAACTGACAAAGATGGGGCCCATGAACAACCCAGAGGCATTCCTCGTCATGGTCAAAAAAGTCACCACTAGCCCTCTCCTTGAGAGCCGAGGCCCAGGCCACATACTAGGGCCTCGTTGCGGTGGCTGTTTAGGATTACACCCACATCAAGGCAGCTGTCCTGGATATCCTGAATGTATCTCCCATAACCCACCAGCAGGAGTTCTGTTTCTTTGAATTCCTGCTTGGGACTCAGCCCAAAGCTGTCACCTAGAATCTGAAAGAACACTGCTGGAAGTGGCTCTAGACAGAGGGCCGCACCGGGGTTCAGGTGATGGAGAAGGTTGTCATGGAGTACTTCACGCAGATCCTCCCCATGGATGAGGTGGGGGTGAATGCGTGGTGAGGCACTGTCTCAAAATGCTTGCAGAAGCCGTTGGGCTGGCAAAGAACTAGCCTCCCTTGGGTCCAAAGCAGAAACACCAAAGACCAGACCAGAAAGCCCCAGGGACCACATACTACCAACCCCCAAATCCAGCTAAACGGGTCCCAGGGAACTGGGATACCCAGTCCCAGTGAGGGAGGGTACAATGACCACTCATCAGTGCCAAACCAGAGCAGTAAGGTCTACCATCGCCCTTCAATGTGGACGTACTGGCAGGTGAGACCGGACTTCGTAGAAATACAATGACCCAACCTTGGGTCAGGTTTATGAACAGATTGCCCATGTGGACAACACAGTACTAAACTCTCAGCTCTTGAAATGGTGGCCCCATTTTGAACTGCTTGAGGAAAGACATACCAGGCCATGAAAGATTCCAAGACAGGGAGAAGTGGGAATCCAGCTGGTAGTTCCCAAGAAGTTCCAAAGGTGGGTATTCCAACTGGCCCATCCAATACCATGCAGAGGCCACTTGGTGAGAGAAAAGACACGAGACATGCAACAGAGTGACTATATGGTTCCACTGGCTGAGCATCCACTTAAAGTTGCACTCATCCCCAAGTGCCAGTGGACAGGTCAGAAAAAGATTCCAAAGGCCCCTCTGGTACCACTACTCATCATAGGGTGCCCTTTGAAAAGAATAGCCGTGGACCTGGTGGGCCCGTGAGAAAAGTCTGCAGCTAGGAACAAATACATCCTGGTGATCCTAGATTATGCCACCCTATACCCCGAAGCATCCTTCTCTGACCAACTACAGCTGTCATCACCAGTGAGCTCCTGAATGTTTTTTCCTGTGTGGGGATCCCCAAGGAGATGTTAAGGGATCAGGAAACCAACTTCACCTCACAATTAGCAAAAGAGCTTTTTAGCCTGCTATGGGTCAAGTCTTTGAAAATGTCTGTATACCACCCTCAAACCAACAGATTGGTGGAATGGTTCAACGAGACATTAAAGAACATGCTGACGAAGTTTGTAGTCACTGATCTCCCAACACTGGGACCACCTGCTCCTACCTCTCCTGTTCACCATCCATGAGGTGCCCCAAGCATCCACAGGCTTCTCCTGTTCAAGCTATTGTATGGGAGACAGTCACTGGCTGTGTTCCCTCCAAGTGATTCAAATGCCGCGCACTTGATTAGCAGAGCCACACACATCTGGCAGAGTGTGTTCAGGTGTGTTCCCCCCCCCCCCCCGCAGCTGCTCGTGGGACCCTCCTGCTGACTGTGCAGAGCGGAGGTAGAGGGGGTGCTGTCAGGGTGTCCCCTTCCCCAGCCCCTGTACCCCATCTCCACAGAGCAGGGGAGAGGGCTCAGGACTTGAGCAGGAGAGAGCTGCTGTGGTCTGAATGAGCCTTCTGGGTGAGTGAGTGAGTGAGTACCTTAAAGAAACAGCGCATGGTCTCTCAGAGACTTCCCCAGCAGTCAGCTCATACAATCTCTCTCTCTCTCTCTCTCTCTCTCTCACTCTCTCTCTCACACACACACACACACACACAGAGTCTCTCCGCATCCCCAGGTACCCCATCTCCACAGATCGGGACAGCTTTCAGTGAATGCCTTAAAGAGACAGTGTACAGCATCTCTCAGAAACTTCCCCAGCAGCCAGCACACACACTGTCTCTGTGTCACACGCACACAGTATTTCCCACTCCCCTCCCAGCACAGACTTGTGTTGTTGTTACTTCTTGGTACTTCCTGCAATGCATATATATTCTTTGTAATTTTATTCTTTAAAAGTGTGTTATTTTAGTTTTTTGACTGGTCTATGCATTTCATAATTTTTATTTCTCTCTTACACGTAAATTTAAATCTTTGAGTAGCGAGTTCTAAAATGCCTAACCTGTCCTGGCTGTTCAGAACTCTGGGTTGTCACCTTCTTGCCATTCTGACATCCACTCCCATGCATGCCATTCTCCTGACATTACTCTGCATCAGCACGCTATCTTCAGACAGAAATGCCTAGAAGACACAAGTCTGAGCGTCTCTCTGCTGCAAATCTACTCAGTAAGTAATGCTTCTCTTGTAAACATTTAAATGTACACTCAGATAAAATGTACATTTCCCAGGATCCTGAGAATTCAAGATCAAATTTAAGTCCCAAAACCTGCAAACACAAGCAGGTACCTACCAAAGTTTTGCTTAGACTTCAGACTTAGGATCCAAGTTCTTTGACTTCACTCTCCTCCTGCAAAGGAGGGAGTGAAAAAATAGACACATACCTAATTAAAGCAAGAAGACTAGATGCGTGATCAAAGGGTAAGAAACATAAAAACATACATATGTAAATATACAGAAATCCTTAGATCATGTAATTAGGTGGGGAAAATGTGTCATTATACACTTGAAATAAACAGAATTACCTGTTCTTAAAATCAAAAGCAGTTTGTATTATGCTTCAAGGAATAATGTCATGTTAGTTTTCTGCATTTAGGAGCTACCTCCTTAAAGTATCTATGATTTGCAAATACCAAGTACATTTGTCCTCATCTGAGAGACTTCTGTAGCATTTAATGAATCATCTGTCACCAGCTGTGGACAATACTTTGATGTCACATCCCTTTACCAACTGCCCTTCTAAGTGTGCCTGTTAGATTTAAGCCAACTCTTCATATTATTAGATTTTATAGGCTTATGGGGACATGCTTCTATCATAAAGACTACATCTATGCCAACCCTTATCAACAGACCTTTCAATGCATTTCTCAAGGACACAGGCTCCTAGATCTTACTTATCTGTGATAAGATGAAACAATGTAAAGAAATAATAGAATACCCCAGTCCAACAACTGGCTCCCGCAAGGGCTTCAATGGGGCTCCAAATGGATGCAATGGTTTGCCTGTGCTAAGCCAGTTCCAGAATCAAGGGTATGAATGATCCCTTGCTTTTGTATGGAAGAAAGGGCAAATAGTATACCTGACTTATCTTCTCTGTACTATTCATTATTCTGCATATCTCTAATATCTCCTCCAACTGGAGTCCTCTCTAAACAGTCCCACCCTTTTCAATATCTGTGATCCACTACCTTCACAGCAAGACACTAAACGGGTCTCCTGGTCACCCCATACCACCCCGCTAGTGATAGCTGAGAATTTACTTATCCTAAATAAGCAGTGCTAAGTAACCACAAATGATTTTGAAATAAGTTTCAAAATAACAAAACAGGACCCTTTTTCAAGTTTTTTTATTTCAAAATCTGACCCTGTGTTCTCACAGAATGGATGCTGTCCTCTTGGTTAATCACCATGCACTATGTAATTTTTCCAATTTAGCTTCAAATCTCTTTTTACTTAAAGTAAGGATGCCAATTCCATAGGTTTTGAAGTCATAACTAGTTTTTTCCAGTTCCTTGACTCTGCTTTTTACAGTACTGATACTTAAATCCAGAACACGAGAAGTTTCAGCTATTTGTTTAATGTGAATCTTTGCTTGCAAGAGGCAATCTATTTTATCACTGAGGGTCTTGGCTGAAAGAAAGAGCACTCGTGGATATCTAATGAAAAATCTATCCACCTCTCTTTCAGTGCACCCAAGAGATAACAACTTCTCTTTAGCATTTGTAAAGTTTTTTTTTATATATTCATTAGATAAGTCCAAAATGTCAGCTCCAGTGCCATGTAGCAGAGCTAGTAATTCCTCATTCCTCAGATGGAAAGATGACTGCAGGAACTCAATGTTTGCACTCACTTGCTTGCTGCTCCGCAGGAGGATGAAAACATTTTTAGAAATTATGTGCTTCACAAAATCATTTGGGTTTTCACCACCTAAAGATAAACAGATTTCATGCAGGAGGTCAGTCATCTGCTTATTCAGCTCCACTCTGTTAGAAAAAGTCCGTGGTGCTCTGGTCAACATATTGCTAAGGTGTTTAGAGGTTAGCCCAAGAGAACAGAAAAATGTAATATTTTTCTCCATATTCATGTTATTACTGGAACGAAAGAAGGACTCAGGGGAACGTCCCAGAATATTTACAATTTCCAAATCAGTCATCAAAATACTTCTCCAAAGTTCCCAACGTTTTTCAAGAGACTCATGGGAACGCGTGATGGCCCGTGGATAACGTGAGATGATGCTAGCAATGATTTCATTAGTAGCCCCTTTGCTTTGCAGAAACTTTTTGAGGCCCTCTTCATTTGTGATCAGCTTCTTCAGAACTCCAGGTTGTCGCCTTCTTGCCATTTTGACATCCACTCCCATGCATGCCAGATTGTTTACTAGAATGCCATTCTCCTGGCATGACTCTGCATCAGCACTCTCTATCTTCAGACAGAAGCGCCTAGAAGACACAGATCTGAGTGCAATCTCTGCAGAAAATCTAATCAGCCAGAAACAATTCATATTGTGAAGAAGTGAGTTTTTCATGCGCATCAGTCCCCTGGCTGCCATAGGGATCAGCTGCTGCAATTATCTTTGTAGTATTGTATGTCCACTGTTTATCATCTGAGGGGAAGAAAACAAACAGTCATTATGCACAGCTACTGGACACTAAATGAAGAACGTGGGTGGATTTGTTTAAATAGTTAGAGCTTAAAAAAAAATAAAAACAAAATCTGCCCAAGTAGGAATATCTAATTATTTAGTTAAAAGATATGGCTTAAAAAACCCCTATAAATTAGCAAATTAAATAAATTGTTTAAAATTCATTCATTTAAAATTCTGGATGGAGGTGAACAGAAGTGTACAGGATTACTACCATGAAACCAGAATAAAATATTCAGTTACATTAAAGGATTAAGATTCAGGCTTCCATCTCTTAAGAGGCATGGTACAGACAGCCCAGGTGGGAAGCTAGGGTAACTTTAAACCACCTTTGCACACTCCCGATTCTGGACTGCTCTGGTGGCTGAAGGGTCCCCCTCCCCCGTCATATTTCAGGAAGCCCTGGAGGTCTGTCTGCATTATGGCAGACTCCCTAGGCAGTAGTGCTGCCCAGAATTTCCCACATGCCTCACTCCAAACACTCCTCTCCCAGCCGCAGCCATTTCCCCAGCACAACCCCTACACACGGGCTTGAGAAGGGTCCTAGGAGGACAGCCTACAGCTCTCTCCCCCAGCTCCTGTTCCAAAGGAACTCTCCCCAGCTAGACCTGGGGTTTTTAGGCCCCTTTATACTATTGTACTCTGGTCCCTTTATTCAGCATAGAAAGATTGGTGCAGGAGTGAGAATCTCACCCAAAGTGAGGACTCAGCAGGAAAAGTTTGCATAACACTGACATCTCACCACATTCAACTCTGTCCCCTTTCATAGTTGCCAATATTTGAAACTGTTTCTCAAGGAATAGTTCTCCACAAAGAGTTGGGAAGTTGGAAATCACAAATCCCCCAAGAGCTGAAGTTTGTTGTGTATTCTGGTCAATTTCATGTTGAGTTCTAGGTTAGTTGGTTGTATTTTTTTCCTTTCATCCTTGCTTCTTCTATTTCCCCACCCTCTAAGCTGTTTCTACAATGTAACACACTACACCACTATCCTGATCCAGAAAGCCCCTCATCTGGTTCAGCATATTACAGCCAAGAAGATATCACGCATTGCAAGGACTGACTTTGATCCTGACACTTGGGTAACCAATCAAAACAATCAATCATAGAATCATAGAATCATAGAATATAAGGGTTGGAAGGGACCCCAGAAGGTCATCTAGTCCAACCCCCTGCTCGAAGCAGGACCAATTCCCAGTTAAATCATCCCAGCCAGGGCTTTGTAAACCAATCAATTGTAACCAATCAATTGTCTGTACACAGTCTAAGTACAGTAACAAGTTTTAATGTCATCTGATCAAAAATGGAACTTAAAAAAGATGAACAAGTTTTTTGTGTCCTCTTCATGGCTTGAAGATGGAGTTTTAGATTTAGGACTTACGATATGAGTCTCAGCAAAATATATGTCATTTCTTGGAACCTTTTCAGAAATCTGGTCATTTAAAATCCCCAGCTGTTAGGTCTTCCAATACAGTCAAACTAAGCCAAGCAACTCAGAAAATTATGTCAGGCTCTTAGTGCCACAAATTCACGTTGGAAATCCTCAACAAGTGACACAAACACCCCACTGAAGTGAATTAAACCTTTGTCCTATCCATCAGAACCGGGAGTTTTAAATGTTGATATAAGAACAATATGAAAACTCATTACTGCGCACGCTCACCAGGTAGTTTCAAAAGTTAAAAATCTCAGGTGCTACAAAACGTTTTTCAAAATAGCAAAATGGACTCCGACCCCATTAGGGATTCATTCCTGGCAAATTTCCAGTTTTAAAAATCAAACCATTTTTACATTAAAAAAAAACTTAAACTGTTGGCATGTGCTAGACCCTTATTTTGTAATAAATAAGGGTGAGCAGCACTTGTAGCTTCTATGGGTTTATTTACAATAAGGGAGGGTGGGGGAGTTAGGAGCTCCCCAGGCACTTCTGGCTGCCAAGACGGAACCCTGGTGGGCTCCCTCTCAGGTGTTATTGCAAGGGTCAGGGCTCCTGAGACAGGAAGGAAAAAGCATTTCAAATGCTGAAAAGAAAAATTCTTCAGCAGCCGTGGTGCAATGGGGAACATCACCAGAGGCCCCTACAGTAGGGAAAGGATCAAGCACTCCTACCGACAACGTCCTGCATCAACAATGGGAGAAGGGAAGGACAGACACCATCATGCCACCCAGAGATAGTAAGGAGGAGTAAAACAACCTTCAGAGTAGCAGCCGTGTTAGTCTGTATTCGCAAAAAGATAAAGTGAGCTGTAGTTCACGAAAGTTTATGCTCAAATAAATTGGTTAGTCTCTAAGGTGCCACTAGTACTCCTTTTCTTTTTGCGAATACAGACTAACATGGCTGCTACTCTGAAGGTTGTTTTACTCCTCCTTACTCCCTTGTCCCAACGCCAACACATAGGACAGGCTACAATATGGCTTATAATAATCAATTTTATAAGAAACCCACAGTAATACCCAGTAAGTCTGCAGTAATAACAGAATACAGCTTTAAGAACCTGACCCAGAGTCTGTTGAACTCAAATGGAGTTTTTCCATTGACTTTAATGGGCGTGACATCAGGCCCTACATTTCTACCAACATGTGGAACATAGGTGCCACTTTGAATCCGGGACGCTATAAAATGGTTTCTTGGTCATTTGGACAAGAGTACAACAGCCAAACCCCAGAGTTCCTTAGCTAAATACCGATGATAATCTTTCTGTTCTGTCCAGAACTTTTCCATTAAAAATTCATTAGAGGCTCTGGCACTTCTATATTGCAATTTATTCTAGGCACTGAATTCAGATCAGATTCAGGAACATAACTACTGATTACATTTCTTGTTTGACAAAGAAAAGTTATTTTGGAAGGAGAGTGATAAGGATGCCCTCTTATGGAATAACTTTATTAGCCATAGTTTCCACACAGCCCAGCAATAAAGGGGTGCAATAAATATCAAGTAAAAGTTTCAGACTAACAGATATAGTTCTAATTGTTTCAGCAATTGTACTATAAGGAAAAATAAATATCCTGTTCTAGCCTGTACTTTTCAACCAAGCGGCAATCCACCAACCCCCAGAACATATAGCACATAGTGTTTCCCAAGCAGTGAACTATCAAAAAATCATTTTCAGAGAAAAAGAATTTGCCATGACAAATCAGACCACATGTGTATCAAAATCCAATATGCTGGCCACAGAGAATATCTGACACTTAAGAGGAAGGCAACCTCAATTTATCCTCATCCACATCCACAAGCACCTGGCTAATTATGGGAGGGAATACCTTCCTCATCCATGCTCTGATCAGCTGATGCAATGTAACAAGATTTGACAATCCATATCTTGGACTAAGTGCAATCATTTTTACTGCTTATGAAGTTATCTTACCCCTTTTCAAAGTCCAATTATAATATTTGACTCAATGACATATTGTACTAAGGATTCCACTAGCCTCTAGACAAACTAACTTCCTGTTGGACAAAGTACATTCCTGTCTGGGTCCTCAGCAGGGTTCAAACCCTGTATCTAAAGGGCTAAGAGAGTAAGACTCTATTTCTTGAGAAAAACTCCAATAGCTGGAAACTGTAGTGGACTCCTAATCTTCCTCTACCACCCATTAGCAGAAAACTAAAAGATTCATAATCCCTTAGTGTGGGTTATGAAAGCAAGTATCTGTCCCATTAAATTGAGTTCCAAAACCTCAATGCTTTTAGTTAAAATAAAAGCAGTCCTTAATCATTTTATCCCTATTGGGATTCAGGTCAGCTAATCCCAAGAGTTCAATGGGACATACCAGCTAACTAGTCTTATTACATAATTTCATTGCAGACTGCTTTTCTTCTTGTTACATTTCATAATCTGTTCACTACTAGCAATAATCTGATAAATGCTGCAGTAACACTTGATGAAAGGGAATTGCATGAATAACTGATCAAACAGTCTCAGACTCACCAGGGCATATTGGAGCCTTCTTCAACAGATCAGTATATAGATGAAAACCAATAGCAAGAAAAAACAGTCAAGAAAGATGAAAACTATCTTAAGAAGTGGAATATTTTCTCACTGGTAGGGTGTGTAACTCCTGTTCTCCCCACCCAGGAGTAACTCATATGCCTGAAGAGCAGAATAAACACCCTAAAAATGACACCAAGCAAATCCCTATTATTTAAAATTGTGGAAGCTTCTTCACTGGAGGTTTTCAAAAGGAGGCAGGATAGCCACCTGTCTTGGATGGTCTAGACCAGTGGTGGGCAACCTGCAGCCCGCAGGCGGCCCGTCAGGATAATCCGCTGGCAGGCTGCAAGACAGTTTGTTTACATTGACCATCCGCAGGCATGGCCGCCCGCAACTCCCAGTGGCTGCAGTTCGCCTTTCCCGCATACAACCACATTTGCTCCAATCCCTCAGACAGAGACAAACACCTACAGGATCTCTATCAAGCATGCTTAAAACTACAATACTCACCTGGGGAAGTGAAGAAACAGATTGACAGAGCCAGAAGGGTACCCAGAAGTCACCTACTACAGGACAGGCCCAACGAAGAAAGTAACAGAACGCCACTAGCCATCACCTACAGCCCCCAACTAAAAACTCTCCCGAGCATCATCAAGGATCTACAGCCAATCTTGGAGGATGATTGCTCACGCTCACAGACCCTGGGAGACAGGCCAGTCCTTGCTTACAGATAGCCACCCAACCTGAAGCAAATACTCACCAGCAACTACACACCACACAACAGAAACACTAATCCAGGAACCAATCTCTGCAACAAGCCCCGTTGCCAAATCTGTCTGCACATTTATTCAAGGGACACCATCATAGGACCTAACCACATCAGCCACACCATCAGCAGCTCATTCACTTGCACGTCTACTAATGTGATATATGCCATAATGTTCCAGCAATGCCCTTCTGCCATGTACATTGGCCAACCAGACAGTCTCTACACAAAAGAATAAATGGACACAAATCAGACATCAAGAATTGTAACATTCAAAAACCAGTAGAAGAGCACTTCAATCTCCCTGGACACTCAATAACAGACTTAAATGTAACCATTCTTCAACAAAAAAACCTTCAAAAACAGACTTCAATGAGAAACAGCAGAACTGGAACTAATTTGCAAACTTGACACCATCAAATTAGCCCTGAATAAAGACTGTGAGTGCCTGGGTCACTACAAAAAGTAATTTTCCCTCTGTTGATACTCACCCCTTCTTGTCAACTGTTGGGAATGAGCCACATCCACCCTGATTGAATTGGCCTCGTTAGCACTGACACCCCCCCACCCCTTGGAAAGGCAACTCCCATCTTTTCATGTGCTGTATATTTATACCGGCCTACTGTATTTTTCATTCCATGCATCTGATGAAGTGGGTTATAGCCCACGAAAGCTCATGCCCAAATAAATTTGTTAGTCTCTAAGGTGCCACAAGGACTCCTCATTGTTTTTGCTGATACAGACTAACACTGCTACTCCTCTGAAACCTAAAATTTAATAGTAATTAAGACAAGGTTTATTTTACAAGGGATGCTCAATCACAATATCACTTTATAATTTAGTAAAATGTTATTAGTAATAACTTACTAGCCTTTAAAAGTTATAGTCCAGTCAGACTCAGATGTGCCAGTTAGCACCAGGGATCCATTGTGCTGTGTGTATGTGTGTGTGTGACAAAGAGGCAGTCCCCATCCTGAAGAATTTCCAATCTAAGGTCCTGAACCAGCAAACAGCTGCTAACAAATGCTCTTTTTATAGATTATGCCTTTTACAAATATTTTCTGTCCCTAAAAATATCCATTGTCTGCTCTGACTCATATAACAGGAGAAAAAGAACCTTCCTCCAAAATAGTAAGGGACATACTATTGCACAGCTCATTTCTATTTCTATTCTATTTCTATTATTCTAAGCAATAATCACCCCAGATCTTCCTTACCTAAGCATCCACTGGGGGTTGCCAAATTTGGTTGGAGGAATTCCTGGAGATTTGATCACATGACATAATCTTTAATTCCTGGAGACTCCAGAACAATCCTGGAGGGTTGGCAAACCTAATTTGGGGATTCTTATTTCACATTGCTAAGACATGAGACCTTTGCCAATACACACAAAAAATAGTCAAATTTCAAGCAAAAATTCAGACTAATGAATACAGTTGAATATCTTTAGAAACCACATTATAAGACAAAATAAATATACTGCTCTAAACCCTCTTGGTTGCATTTTACACAGCAGAATCAGTCCTTACGTTGCACGCAGATAATCCCACCACTTTACTCGGATCCGAAGACCACTTTGACTTCCCTTTAGTATTGCTAACTCTTCCTATTGGGCAAAGCAAATCCTTTTCCTGTTAAATCAAGCCCCAAAACCTTGCCGCTTTCATAAGAGTAATTTTCAAGCATTTAATCGGCACATACTAGCTAACCCCTTTTAATTAAATTATTTCACTGCAGCTTCCTTCCTTAAATTTCTTGTTTCACTTTGCAATTTGAATTCTACTAGCAGTGACGTGAAAAGTGCTATAGCCGAGAAGTATGTGATTTGTGTTTTCCATCCAGTAAGATTGAAAGTAAAATGACTCTTCCCTGAGTAACCAGTGTAATAAGACTGTAAAACGTGTAATTTACCACCACATTGCGGTCCGGGAGTCTTCCTCATCATAGGTTAAAGTTGAAAGCTAACAAGGAGAAAACAGTCAAAGCTAGTAAAGAAGAAAACTTGATATTAAAAAGGATTTGGTTTTCGTTTTAGTGCTGCCACCTACCAGATTTCTGTTTTCACTCATTTTAGTAAAAGTGAACTGCTGCACCAGGAGATGGCAGTATAAAATAACATAGCCATGCAATTTGTGCTGTGGTATTTTGTGCTATATTTAAGATTTGGAGGGGGAGGGGGTCCACAATGTTTTTGTAGCCTATGTAGGAAAGAAGGGTGGGCTACTAACAACCTTCACAAAGATGACAGGTGTCTGAAGCCTCTCCAGGAGGATATGGAATATGGAGCAGAGACATTGCCACTGGCCTTCCTATAGCACCATCACCCTTTCTTCCCCCAAAAGTCTCATTAAATGGCTGGGTGAGGATTCTAACATGTCCGTTACAGAAGGTTGTCACCTGTCCAGGTTTTCCCAGGATTGTCCTTTTTTGAGGTAGCTGTCCCAGGAAATCTGTAAGGGTGCTCAGTACACACTGACAGCTGTCCAGTTTTATGGGCTTGGGTGGGATCATCCCGGATGGCAACCCTATGCACTGTTGTCATTAACACATTCACATTGGGGACCAAATGTATTTTTAAACAAATTCAACAACGAGAAGGATATTATTTTTTTTATTATTTAATTTGATCATAAAGACAGGCCCAATGTGCCAATTCTTTATCAGAGCAGTAAGGACTAGTAATCCATGGGGGATAATCCTGACCCCAAGGCTGAGCCAGATAACTAACCTGGGTATAAATGGGCAGGTGTCTGCAGCTGCTGTTTCAGCCTCAGGACTGCAGTAGCTTCAGTGGTCATATGGGGACAATGACTGATGAATACCCACACTGCTTGGCCCTGACCCACCCATCCATTTAAAGCAAATAATGATCATAGAGATAAAATACAAAAGGAGGTAAACTTATACCTATGTGTACAATAAGCATAAAAGAATTTTATTCTGAATATTTAAAGGAAGCTGGGACAATTGTATACACTTCAGACATACAATAACAGGTAAGTGTACTATAATATTTTTATGTATACCAACTGATCTGTGATAACAGTAGAACTTTTGTACATAACTGAATTAGGAAATGTCAATCAGGTGCTCTAGGATCACTTAATTAATTATCTGCATTAGTTGCAGGCTTACTTAAATTACCTCCTTGATATATTATACTTCAGAATAAATTATTCATCCTACCAAACTTGCTACACTGCAGGGGGTCTTGATCTTCTTTTCAGCTACAGTGTTCATACCAAAGAAGTGACCAGCTCAGTAAACCTACAATACTTGTCCTTTTAATGAAAAGATGAGGAATAATAATCAAATATGTCCAAAAAGAGATATGTAGAGTTTACAATCTGTCAAACTATAAGCTGTACAACCCCAGGATCCAGAAAACAACAACACTCTACTTCAGAGGGTATGTATTACTGCACTATTACAAGAGGTCTGTGCTTCATTCCATTTGTCTGAGTTAGTAATGAATATCTTTACAACAGGAGATAAATATGTTGGGTGTTCAGAATATAAATAAAGAGATTATGTATATGTTTTTGCAGATGCATATTTGAGGCATGGAGCAAGCATGCTTGTATGCCTGTATATATGTATTTTGTGCATGTATATATAGCATGTGAAGGTGCGGTTATCTTTGTATAGCTCTGCGTGTGATGTGTATGTGTTCTGCTGCATTTTGGAACACTTTATAAAAGGGCTCAGCAAAATGTATTTAGAGCTACAGAATATTAAGATTTAATAATGAATAAAAGTAGACATACAATGAAGGGACCTATACAATGTTTTCATTGTCTATAGGTCACATGAACTTGGCTAATTTACAAGGCCTACAATTAACATATAAAAACCACGCTTTATTTTAGTTGACCTTCCAAACGTTGTTTCTTTCCTCAGTGCCCATATTGCTTCACAGGGAGAGATGCTTTTTAAATTAATTATACATAAGAAGTGGATAAACACAAAACAGTGATTATGTCCACATCAGACCTTGAGCAACCACTATAATATGTATTAAGGCCCAGATCCTCAAAGATATTTAGGCTTCTAACTTCCATTGATTTCGAGTTAGGAGCCTAAATAACTTTGTGGACCTAGGCCTAACCCCACTTTGTAACTTTTTCCTTTCAACATGATTCTTAAGAAAAGGTTCTGCTCTGTCTTGTTTCTTTAAATCCCCAAACACTGCTCTATGTCCCATCCACTCAGCTTCCCCACCTGCACCTTTACCACCAACCATCCACTATCTATTCTACAATTTTTGTTACTGCTTGCCTTTGAAGGGGACCCCAGAATACTGTGCAGCAATATCTCATAACAGAAATTCTATTTCAGTAAATAGATTGGGGGTAGAGGAATAGGTGTCCAGAGAAGATGTTTACAGTATTACCTACAACACTTCCCTGCTGCAGCCATGGTGATGGAGAAGCCCACAGCATTCTGAGATACTCAAATACAAAGCAAAGCTCACCTCAGCTGCAGAGCAGATAGTAACGGATACTTAGGGACACTGGAGCAGAACTATTGTAGCAGACTGTGGCAAGGGCTGAGGTTCATCAAGTTAACCCTTTGTTATTTGTACTTCTTCTCAAAGTGGAGATGAGTAATTACTTTCTTATAGGCACTATGAGAACTAAACACTGGTGGCCCTATCCTGCTCTCATTAAATTTAATTATAAAATTCTCACTGGTGTCAGTGGAAGCAGAAGCAGGCCCTGATCAAAGAATGCCTTGGACACAGTCACGTCTCAAATGTAGGTATCTCTTTTGTTTTCATATAATTTCACAGAGTTAATTTATAATTCATTCTCCTGTCAGGTAGGTCTGTACAGCAGATCCCAAGGCCACAGCAGAAGGGTTGGACCGCAAGCATCAGTGGCAGTGTCTCCTCCATATAATTCTGACCATATACAGCCATTTGCAAGTGAAATCTTACATTTTGAACTCTCTTTAACCCAAAATGGCAGGATCATTATACTGGGTGGCAGGAAAAAGTTCGGATCCCTACTTTGTAGAGAAGGGGTTGTTCTTATAAGGTAGTGGGCTCTGAGACTATAACGAGGTTCATCTAGCTTTCCACTTCAATATGAATTTACTTTTTGATACAACCCAATTATAGTTAGATAGCCTCATTACTATTGAGTGGTACTGTATAGTATTAGCCTATATATTTATCTGAATACTTTATATCCTCAGTCTCAATAGTATCTGAGCTCCTTAGCTTTAGGCTTAAGTGATGTATGCATTTGTTTAGGCCCCTAAAGTTCCAGAACTTCTGTACCCCATTCATGCATCTGATTTGCCAGCATGAGCTCCATCCCCAGTTCTGGTTACCCATCTGACTCTGACTTCACCAGTCAGAGGATGAATTCCCTAATAACCCTCTCCAGTCCCTAGCTGGAAAGTGGTGCTTCCGTTCTATCTTCTAGCTTGCCCATCCCTTAAAGGGGCATTATCGGAGGAACCAGGCAAAGTCTCACAACTAAGTGAATGGGAAAATAAGGGAGGCAAAAGGAGGTAGCTCAGAGGGAGGGTTTAATTGTTATACAGATGTGGAAGGCTTCTGACATAAGTGATGAAGAACCTGAATAGAGCCTGCATTGTTGCTTTGGACAGAGCCTCTCAACACCTGGAGCCATCCTTGCTATTCAAAGTTAATTCACTGCCGTAGTTATAAACATTAATTTCCAAATATAAACAATTATACTGTATGCAGAGTTGATCCCAAACAAAAACGCCATTCCCTCATATTTTTAGGAATTTCAGATCCAGATCTTAATGTTGTGGCTTAGGCCCATTTATAATTGTAGCTAATGTATGAAATAAAAATTTACTTGTTTATGGTACCTAAGCTCTATGGAGATTAGAAAATGAACCAAGATGTTTAAATATTTATGGCTTTTGGGCTGCCCTTAATCAAGTAGCATCTTAGGTGAGCCAGTATTGGTCATCCTACCAAAATAGATTATTGTAGATAAATACCACCTATAGCTCAAACCCTCAAATCTTAAGTAGCTAACCAAGTTGTACCCCAAAGCCATCTGGCCATAAATGAATTTGTAGAATGGGAATTGTATATAAATAAAAAGAGCTACAATCTCTACAGATTGCTTGGAATTTAATAAAATGCTCTCCTACAGTCCCCTGTTGGCATAGGCTTCCAGGGTGTAGGGAAAAGGTGGAATTATAAGTGCTATTCCTTTTAAAAATATTTTGTCCAATTGTCATTGTCAGAGTGCATACAATTTGTGTGCCTAAATTTCATCTCACACTGGTATCAATAGGAGTTACTCCACTGGAATTACATAGTTTTAAAACTGGTGTAAGCAGGAGGAAAATAAGACCCATTAGCTCTTATTAAGTGACTTCATGGAGACTTTGCGGGCCTCTAACTATCTTCTGAATTGGATATTCTGACTGAGAAATTACTGTCACAGTCTAATGTAAGGTTTCAGAGTAACAGCCGTGTTAGTCTGTATTCGCAAAAAGAAAAGGAGTACTTGTGGCACCTTAGAGACTAACCAATTTATTTGAGCATGAACTTTCGTGAGCTACAGCTCACTTCATCCGATGAATGGGTGTTGTTTCATATTCTCTGTGTATATATAAAGTCTGCTGCAGTTTCCACGGTATGCATCCGATGAAGTGAGCTGTAGCTCACGAAAGCTCATGCTCAAATAAATTGGTTAGTCTCTAAGGTGCCACAAGTACTCCTTTTCTTTTAACTACTTAGGACACACTCTTCTCCTCAACATGTGCAATTGTCTAGTTTAAGTGGGTCCCCTCCCAGCATGTTGGCTTTTGTGGATGCCATTCTCAGGCAGCTATCTCTCCCATGCAAAGTATAGGGAGCCTAAAAACCTAACCCAATGTTTGTGGCTTCTATTTAGGCATCATATGGT